TTGTGCCACTGTGTCTGAGCGACACAATAGGTACCTGGACCCTAAAGAACCTACCTCATAGGGTTCCCTATTATGATTTCTTTAATGTAAGTCCCTAAAAGGGTAGATTATGTAGGGTTAAACAATAGGCCCCTTCTTTCTTTCGGGCAGGCGTAAGGTCCAAAAGACGTGCCTATTGCAAACAAGAACCAACGAATTCAAAGGTGAAACATGGCGGAGAGCCAGCCTGGTCTGTGCCGCGTCCCGCAAGGTCAAGGAGCCATCCCGACAGAGGGCAAAGGGAATCAACGGTGGCCGGAAACCGAAGGAACACCGGATACCCCTGGCGGGCATGAGGGAAAAGACAACGAAGGACTCGTAGGACAAGTCCAATCCAATCCCGAAGGCGACGAAGAGTGCTGAGAGAGCACGGCGTCGGTGCGAAGGCGGGCAACACAGACTGAGGAGGCTCGGGCAAGGAAAGGCAAAAGCCTGCCGCAGCATTAACAGGCCAATGCTCCAAGTCTTCCAGGGCAATGCACACAAGCGGTGGCTCCGCGGCAAACCTGAGGGTTGCCCAGGCCTGGGGCACAGCACAAATGCATAGGAGCGGGGACGCAGAAGCGCGGAGGGCACAACGCGGCACATCTATAAGAGGACTGAAAGTAGTGTCCTGCTCGTCCTCCTGTGAGGCTGGGCCCGCGACCCGCTCGCAAACGTGCTCAGGGTGCATGATAGCAAGTATGTCTAGGCCAGCATCCCGAACGCGACTGGCTGGCAAAGTATCACACCATTGGGAGAGAGTACATCGGAGAACTGGTAGGGGGGCAAAGTAACTCTGCACCAGCTCAAAGATCTCACAGTCAATGTCCACATCTCCAAAGGAGGAGTTGGCAAGAGCAGCTGCCAATTCGGAACAAGACTCCACAACGGGCGTACCAAGGGAACGCTTACCAACACCAGCTATTGCAGGAGCTTGTGCATGCCCCACAGACTGGTCAACCACCAGGGGGCCTGCAGCAAGAAGGCATTCGATGTGCTGAACACAGACAAGGCTGAGGCGGAGGTGCGTTCGAAGACGTCCTTCCGAAGATACCTGCAGACCGCAAGCCTGACAAGTACGCCCTCGGGAGACCCTGTGTGCTTGCGAGTGGTATCCATGAACGCGATGTGCATGTGCACCCCACTGCTGTCGGGTGCGAAAAGCCACACGACAAGGCAGGCAAGCGTGGATACACAACTCAAGAGGAGCAGGTTTTTTGGGGGACCGCACCTGCCAAGCATCGCGCACAAAGCCATCAAGGGCGGCAAGAATCTCATTGCGGAGTATATACCATCCCTCTGCTCGCCTGATCATCGATTTCCAGCGACCGGGTGTCGCGAGGATAAGGCGCTCCCATGCGGCCCATTCCTGCTGCATGGGCGGCAAAGGAACCACGGTGCCTATGGCGCCCAGCAGCCATCCAGAGGCATCTACTAGGGCATCCTGATAAGCAGTGAAGTGGGCTAGAAGAGCCCATGTTGCATCGGGCCCGTGACAGACCAACTGACCCAGAAAGCGCAGTCGTTCAGACTGGAGCAAGGCAGACGGCGAAGGCAGACCCGACCTCTGCAGGATCTGAGCCTCAGTACACCGGAATCCCCCCTCAGTGCGCAAACCGAGCAGCTGCCTATAAAGACTGACAATGCCACCAGAGAACACACTCCACTCCTGTGAAGTCAACTTGCGCCATGTGCCAACCCCCGGGAGCACAGCAGCAAGAACATGAGAGCGGAAAAGAGCAGCCCTTCGCGCGAGCGGCACCTGTTTGCGCGCAAACAAGCGCTGCTTACCCTGCTTCATTGCAGTTCGCCCAGCCGAGAGCCGGTGTCGAATCTCAACGAGGAGGCAACCATCGTGGGTGACCAGGGATCCCAGGTGTTTATAGGAGGGCACAAGGTCCAGGCGTAACCCGCCTCTGTTTTCAGGAAGAACGGGCAACTTACCCTTGCCTGCACTGAAGAGCTGTCTGCGTGCCGCCCGCGAACCGCGACCTACCGGAACGACCAGAGCGGCTGTCTTGGTTGGACCAAGATTAGCATTTAGTCCATGCGGCAGCAGAGTATCCACTGTATCGGCTGCAACCCCCGCCACTGCATGTGCAAGTTCATGCGCGGAGCCGCATACCAAGAAGCTTGCTAGATCGTCCGCATAGACGACATCACTGGCTTCCACGCTGCGAGTGACAGTCGCGTCATCATCAGGCCGGCCCCATGGGGAACGAATGCCACTCCAAGGCACCTTCGGGACAAAAGGTTGCAGGGTAGATTGGCAACGCCTCTCCAGGACCTTACTGAAGAGAATGCTAAAGAGCACGTCAGCGAGCGAACCCCCGGGCCGGGTGCCCCTGTGAGTTTCCACAATTTGCTTGTCACCAGCGAGCATGAACCACGTATTTCGGTGTAACTCCTCAGCCACCTCACGGAAAAGCGGAGAAGCATCTTGTTCGCGCAGGACGGGCTCCTGGTCTATATAAAACTGCAAAGTCTGCATGTCTTCCCGGGTGAGGCCCAGAGAAGCCACTAGTGCATCCAGTGGACGACTACAACCGCCGGCACCAAGCACCGCCTCTCTGATGACACCGTAATATGCAGCAGAAATGTCAACAAACAAAATCGCTGCACTTTGCCCGCGTGCACGTGCCATAAACAAGAAGGCTCTAGACGCAAAATGCCCGAATGCTGCGGGGCATCCGCGTCTGCCCCCGATCTGTAAGGGCAACACGTGTTGATCCCAATGTTTCACGGCCATATGGCGGGCTGCACGGTGGAGCACCTTGGATAGACATGATTGCACTAGAATCCCACGGTATCCAGCAGTAGTATTTTCAACAACTGAAGGTTTGGCAATGCGGTGTAGTACACCTCCCTTTAGACCGATTGCTTCATTGGAGCGGAGGACGGCTTTGAGCATGACGGGCCAAAAAGCCTCTGTCATGCGCTGACTAAAGACAGAGCAGAGAACAGGGGGCAAGAGGTCAGGCCCGCATGCCTTGTGCGGGGAAGTGGACTTGAAGGCCGCATGAAGCTGTGCCCAGGTAGGGATGTTGGAGACGTTAACCGTGTCCGTGCCTTCGAAAGAAGTTTGGCGAGCCTTGCAGCTCGAGGCCAATGCAGATGCCGAAACTTCCTGACCTGCCTCGAGTGTGCGGAAATGCTCACGCCAAACCTTAACTATCTCCTCCTGCGAGGCACAGGCAGAGCCATCTGCCTTCATCAGCAGGGGAAGAGGCATGTTAGTGCTGCGCCTGAACTTCTTGGGACGGATGAGCTTGCGCACCTCCCGGTGTAGCTCGGAACATGGAGCATCGGCAATCGCGGCCGACAAGCTCGCCATGTGGTCTGCGTTATCGCGCCTGCAACTGTGATTGAGAGCCCTGCCGTATCGCTTCAAGAGCATGCAGTCAAGCGCTCTTCGTATCTGAACACGCCAGAGCCATCGCCCCGTGAAAAGGCGAGCAAAAGAGGAAGCATCTCGAGGCCAGGCAGCAAAAGCGCATCGGAGCAGAGCCTTCTGATACGCGGTGCTTCTGGCACGCACCGAGTGACGAAGGCCAGAAACAAGCTGGTGAAGACGCTGAGTCTCATCCGAGAAGTGCCCACCTCGCATTCGCCTGCTTTGCAAGGGGAAGGCAGACGCTAGGCCGCGGTAGATATGATCGACCAGCAGGGCCGCATGATCACTCGCGTCAACCGACCAATCCGGAACCGGGGCTTCGCGCAAGATAGCCTCAATGGCATCCCTGTTATCTGGGTCGGCAAGTGCCAAAGTGTTGATGCGCCTAGCCTTAGCCCTATTGCGACAAGTGCTGGGAAAAGCAATTGTGCAAGAAACAAGAGCAGCAAAATGGTCCAGACAATGATGTCCAGCAGAAATGGCCGGTTCGACCCACGCGACACAGTGGGAAAGCAGCCAAGCACAGGGAATTGCCACGTAGTCAGAGCGGTCCCATTCCCCATTGCGCTTCTGGTACAAGGTACCCCCCTCTCCCCAGGCAGAGTCAACAAAAGTAGATGGCAGCCAACATCCCAAGTCGGCCAGAAGCTGCCTAAACAGAGGACCAGCATCGTCCTCGGGGTCGGCTTGATGTGAGCCGACACGCTCGTCGCAAACACTGCCTAGGCGACAGTTGGCGTCGGCCAACACCAGCCAAGCTGCATCACGCGATAAAGCGGAGCAGATATGGTGCACACGCTGCCACCATTGCTCACGAACAGCGGGAGGATGCGCCCTGTGCGGTCCATGAGCAACAAGGATACGCAAAGGTGTGCCTCGAAAGGAAAGTCCAGCCACAAGAAAGGTCGGCTCGGCATGGAGCACCGTAACCCCCAAGGGGTCGAAGGGGCCAGTTTCATCAAGCCACAACTCCACCCCGAAGCAAGCATTGTCATCTCGTCCAGAGGCAAATCTGTGAAAGCCCTGACAACCCATGCTACCTCTTGAGGTGCGACATTCCTGTAGTCCGGCAATGGTCACGCCGTGAGCACGCAAGGACTCAACAACGAGCCTGACTCGGCCGGTTGCACCATGCAAACCAGCTTGCTGCGGTGCTGCACTGGGGTCAAGAAGCGACAGGACATTGAAAGAGGCAATGCCCACACAGAGAGAGCAAGGCTTGCCCCGCTGCGTGGAAAGGCCGCCCCCTTGAGAAGAACGCAGAAAAGGGGCCATAGTGTCCATAGGCTTCAGAATGGAAGTAGCCTCACCGCGACTCCAGCTCATGACATCATGATGCATGGCGGGGACAGCACGCGGAGTGCGACGCACAAAACAGATGTGGGGCAGCCACGCAAAAGCTGCACCTGAGTTGGCGAACCAGTCTGCCAAGCAGAGAGGCGGCAAGGAGAAGCTACTATGTAGCCTTGAGGCTCGACCTGCCAGAGCATCAGCAAGCTCGTTAGCAGGATCAGCAGAGTGACCTAGTACATGCTGATAAGAAGGGGCATCCCGCAACAGGCGGAAGGCAGTGTGCAGAGAAACCGCGGCTCTGCAAAGCGGGTGATCTCGCATGTGCACCCAACCCGCGCTGCCATGTAAAGCACTGATATTGTCAGCACGAAACACAAAAGGAGCGCTCGAAGGTAAGCGCAGAGCGAGGATCGCGCCCCAAAACAGTGCAGCAGTTTCGGCCAGATAAGCGCTGCTGTCGCCGAAGGAGGACCCAATTGCCTCCTGAAGGTCGCTTAGGCTACCTGCCGCGCAACCGATAAACTGACCCGGCAACAAAAGATCTTCCGAACTGACAAGGCTAATAACAACAGCCCAGCCGGAGGCACCAGTGACAGGATCAAAGGAGCCATCAGTTGTAACCACCACATATTCCCCGGGGGCAGGAGCACGCCCGTTTTGGCCGTTCGACAACCAAGCCATGAAGCGCTCAGGCCTGGGTAATGACCCAGATGGTCCGCGCAGGTGGTGGAAAGGATAGGAGCACGTAAGAGATTCAAGCAGCACTCCGTGGCACGGCATCAGGCACTGACGCGCCTCAAGATCATAACACTCGGGAGAGCTATGCGAGGCCGTACTCTCAACCTGAAGTTGGTCCTCCGCGGAGGGTCCCGGCACACTCGCCGGGATAAGACGGTCAAGAGCCAGGGCACCACCGCCTTCAGCGGCAGGCCGTCCGGGAATCCCAAAGTGCTCGTACAGGGTCTCCAACAGGGTGGCGGCCAAGTAGAAAGCCTGACAATCTTCACGTCTTACGGCTTCATCAAGAAGGGTCTGAAGGCTTTCATGATGAATGTTTCCTTCGGCACCGGAGGCAAAGGAGGCGGCAAAAGGAGCATCATCCAGTACAACGACGGATTCGTCAATCTGAGGAAGGACTGTCGCCCGACAAGGAGTAGCGATAGTCCTCAAGCAGACAGTGCTGGCCTCGGGTATCCTATCTGATGCACAGGGAGCTCGAACAGTACATTGTGCAGTGCCCAGCTGGATCTGCGTTGCAGACACTTCCACAGGGAAGACAAGACTCCCCATCAGAAGTACGCAACAGAGGGGCTGGAATCGTACACAGCCAGCAGGATCGCCCCCGAGAAGAAGGGTCCAGAAAGACCCCCAAAGAAGGAGCCGGCAGCTACCCCGGAGCGTTGTCACGGTGTGGAAGAAACACACGCCCCCAAAAGCAAGCAAGGCACCGAGAAGCGCACAAAAGAGCAAGGTTCCGAGGAAGGGCCCCTTGCACGACGACCCGGCTGCCGGTCTTGAGGCAACGGAGATATGCTGGTCAAAAGACCCAGAATCATGAGCAGACCTGCCTATCGAACCTGCAGAAGGAGCTGCGCTATCATCAAGCGGAACCGGTGGGTCGGTTCTCCATGCGTGGAGGGAGACATCACCGTGCTCAGCTGGCGGCGAATCGCCTATGACAGGCAAAGACGGATCATGGTCATCAGGAAAGTCGACCCTGGACTTAAGAGCCAAGACCAGCACTTGACCATCCACAATGCGCAACCATCTACCCATGGTAGGCTGCACAAAAACCACGACCGTCCAACCGGGAGGGGCCATCCAGGAAAAGCCCTCACGTACAGCTTCTAAATCAACCCATCCTTCATCAGAAGGAACCCGGCGCCACCCCCAAAGTAACTGTCGACAATCCAAGAGACCGACAGGGTAGGGGTTGCGACGGAAGCTGTGGCCAATAGCAACGGCCGTGCGGCAATTTCGGCCAAAACATGCCACATCCTGTTGCATAGGATTTGCAGGGGTAACGACGAGATGCAACACATTAAGCTGAAACAGGGCAGCCAGATCCGAGCGGTACTGAGTGGACCGCTGATCATACAAGATGAAAGTGCGGACATGAGTATCCCCAACTGCGCAGTAACAAGGCTCACCGTCCTGAACCGGGAAAGGAGGACCGCTATCCCATCCTAGTGGAGAAGCAAGCATGTCTGAGAGGGGGATACCGTCGGTCCGCCCTTGTCCCAGTGGCGCAAAGCAAAAGCAATGTCCCACCTCCGGGTAGAAAGCATCGAAGTCAGTTAAAGCAACGCCACTATCGGGTGCAAAAACATCGACATCGGCCGCAGCAGCAAGCCCGGCAGCTGCCAAAAGGAAGGCACGATCGATGCACCGGGGGGCCCAGACAGCGAAGATGCGCCCATCCCAAGCAAGCAGGTCGAGGCAGATAACAGCGTCACGCTGGAACCACGCAGGCAACATAAGCAATGCCCCCCATCGAGAGTCCGGCTGAGGCCACACGGGGACGAGGCGCGGGAAGCCAAGTTGAAAATCCTGTCTGCGACATACATCAACCAAATCCAAGGCTTCGTCCACAGATTGGGGCAAAAGTATAGAGACCTTGAGTGCCTCCATCTGAAGGTCAGGTGCAAAGATAGCGAAGGACACCTCCGCCATGGTCACCTCAGTAGTGGTGGCAACCTGCGATCACCTTCCACATCAGCCTCAAAGGGGTCATGTCCTACAGGCTCGAAGGGCCACTGGTGGCCCAATAGGTTGGTGGCAACCTGCGCGTTGCGCATGGTGTCAGCAACAGCGGGGCTGGAAACCTCAGTGAGATGCAGAAGCCTCAAAGAGAGAAGGGGTCCGGTATGAACCTGCCCCGTATAGCTCGCAGAATCGCCAAGTTCATCAGTCGGCCCTGCAACAAGGAGACTGGCCCCTCTCCGCGCAAACAAACGAGCTTCTTCAAGAGTGGCAAGGCCTGGCATGTGAAAAGCGACAAAAGGAGCGCGCACAAAGCCAGAATAGGGGCAAGAAGGCCGGAGGACAGGGGTGATACTCGGATGGCTCTGAGCAAGAGCGTCATGCAAGAAATCCTTGTACCACGTGACTACTCGACAGCCTATAGGCCTGACTGACATAATTGAAGAAGCCTCGCCTTGACGGGGGATACGAGAAACAGCAAAGCCCCCTGAGAAGGCGGAGGACCCAGAGTGCCCCGGACCGCCACGAGGTGAACGGCTGCGAGGCTGACCGCGTCGATTCCTGGTACCGACACAGTGACTGGCATCATTGGCGGAATCTGGTTCAGGGCCACCAATATCAGCATCATGGTCCTCAGGACCAGGGCTAGAATCATGTGGCGGCTCTGAGGAGGATCCCGCCATCATATCCTCCAAGAAAGTGACAACCAAGGTCTGCCCGTCCTGCACGACAAAACAGACCTCGTTTTCGTGATGAGCAACATCGGCACCCGTGATGGAGACGATGTGTTCGGCCGGGCATTGGTCGGCAAATTTATCCGCAACACCCTGAACCGGGAGCCAGGAACTTGAGACACAAATCCAGGAAAATCCCTGCAACACTCGTCGCGCATCGAGGAAGACAATGAGTCGAGGATCAGCACGCCTGGCCGGAGGACAAGGCAGGCGGCAAAGCCGCTCAGTAGCTACCATCACTCCACTGACTAGAAAGCCAAAGGGGAGACAGTCGGACACGCCCGGAGAAGCAGATTTAAGCACAAGTCGATGACTCTGGGTACCGAGAGACTGGGCAAGGTCATCCTTGAAAAAAGGCCGCCTGCCAGCCTGTACCTCAAAAAGGGTTGGTTGCGCATCCGTCAATATCAAGAAGTACTGTCCAGGTGCACAACCTGGACCAAGCACCTCCGCGTCAGCACTCCAGGATGTACCACTCTCCAGCCGTGTCTGTAAATCAAAGGTAGCAGGAGCGCCGCTGAAGAGCGGAACAAGCACGATCAGAAGGCCCTCGGTCAAGGTGATAACCTGACTATGGCTCAGCGGCTGGAGGAGTCCATGAACATACACCTCAAAATCACAGTCGGCCGAGAACCCCGCCGCGAGAAGCAGGGATTCGCGGCTGAGTCGCGAAAAGAGCATCTTGGCAAAGATCGCCTTGCCGACCCTGCTGCAGTCCAACAGAACCGTGGGTCTGGCGACTTGCCATTCCGAAGCCGCCACCGCAAGAAAGGAATCCGCAGACGGTTGCGGCGTGACTGGGATCAGCCGCGAGAAATGCAGGCTAAGATCCGAGTCTCTTTGAGCATTAACCGCAATCAACAGAGCGGCGGTGCTGCACGGCAGAGAAAGAAGGACATTAAGCATCTCGGGAGCAAAGTCCGGAGCGTAGACAAAGGCCCTCACGTTAGTAAGTCCATCCGCTGTCTCAGCCAAACGACTGTCAGCCGAAGCATCCCCTGGGGGAGCGCTGGGAGGAGAAACTGGAACGTGGTGCCTAGCAGGACCAACGACTCTCGCCTGTGAATCAACTGTCTGATCCATAACAGGAGGCGCAAGCACACCTGACGGAGAAGTGGCCACTATTCCATCAACGTTAGAAGCAACAGGAGCGACAGACACATCGCAACCATGCTCCCAATGCGGTGTAGCAGGCGGGGACCAGAAAGAGTCTTCATAATCAGCAATAGCATTCCAGCTATGCCCAGCGGGGATTGAAGAATCGGGCCCCGATGGCGGTTCAACTTCCTGCACGACGGCCTGAGCGGGGCCACGCACTGGAATGGGCGGAGGAGGGCCATTCCGAGGAAGCGGCCATTCAGGTTGCCGAGGGGCCCGGGAACTCGACGAGGACTCAGTCTCAAGAGTCTCAGCAAAGAAGAGCAGAACCGAAGAGCCCTGAACGGAAACATAATCCCCTTTGCGCTTGCCACCGTGGACCCCGATGCAGCGGGCCTGTGGCAGTTCCACCCCATGATCAGAGAGAATGCTTGGGATGTGCAATTTGGGTACGTTGGAGTGCACACACGCGGGCTTGAGTCCCAGTGGCCGGAAGTCACAGAAAGTGAAGTAATCCTGCCGCTCCCGAGTAGCTTCAATATCGGTCAACTGCGGAACATCAAAGACCGCGACAACTTGGGGGCAATAATGGCCCTGGACATCGAGATCAGGCACATGAAATGTGCACATTGCAACTCGGCCAGGAACAAGCCGCATACGCCTCATGACATGCTCAGTTATGGTGACCCCATAGTGGTGATGAGGCTGCACACAAAATCGCTCAGAGCGATAAAGAACACAGACCCCGTGCGTAAGAGCGACGTCAAAGAAGTGCTGCATAGGGCCCCACCTAGACCTATCCTGAAAGGCTTCAGGCCTGTGCTTAGCGAAAATCTCGACATCAGGAAGGACAGCCGTGATGACAACCCCGTCATTGAGAGTAACTAGCGCTTCACGGGGCCATGGCCTGGACCGACAACCAACATAGAGTCTGAGAGTATCAGGTTCCGCAGTTGTGAGTGGGTCGATAAAGGCCAAAAGTGATGCATATGCTAGGAAGCGGGGAAGCACGGTGGCGAAATACATACCACCGACGCGGGTCAAGTCGACGACCACCGCAGCCTGTCCGTCCCCAACGTGCCGGATAAGAGCGGGAAACCGAATGACCGAAAGGTAATCGCTGTGCCGTTGTGGCTGCAAGGGGACTACACTATCCATAACACCATCTGGAGTCCCGGGTAGACAATCTTGGATCGCATCTAGGGCCTGGTGCAAATCTGCTTGCATGCTCACCTTGACCGCAACAGCTACCGGCTTATAGTGCGGTGTGTAGACATAGACCCCCAGCAGACGTGCAACGTCCTCATCAGGAGGCTCAGGCGGCCATGCAAGATCGCGAAGGTGCAGGACACCCTCCGCACGCCTAGGACGATCAGTGTCAACCCAGGGCACCTCAGGAAAACCAGTGCCCACGTGATAAGTGAGTTCCTCAGGGCGCAAGGCGTGAGGCGCACGACTAGAGGGCACCGAATCTCCAGGCCTCGGGGCGCGGGTCATAGCTTGTGCAGCCGGAAGCGAAATGACCCAAATAGGCGCAGGGAATAGGGACGATCCCACAAAAACTGGCAGGGAAGGGCCGAACCAGCTCAGAAATCCACATAGCCAGCCAAACCTAATGCGAGAACCGGCGGTTCGACAACAATCTGACCGACGAAGTCCTCGCCTGCCATGCCTATTCGACCAGCGAGTGTAAACAAGAATAGGCCGGCAACTGGCACAAATCCCAAGAGGGAGAACCAAAGGGGTGATGATTGAAGGCCAGACCTTGTGACCTGAGACCATAACGGCAGGACGGCTTCGGCGCGACCCAAGGAGAAGCCACCCTAGCGCCAACAACACACATAGTCCAAGACTCCTGAAAAAGGAAGCCAAGAGCCCTTCCCCAATCATAAGCACCTCAAATGCCTTCCTGCAAAGGGAAGGGCTGGACTCAGGCAGTGCTGCTGAGGAGCAAGCATTGGCAAGGAGGTCGCTGTCCCAGAGCCACCGATACAGCTGTTTGGCACCTCCAAAATTCGCGCAGTAGAAAACGTAGGCCGTGATCTCTGCTAGGCTGGGCTGGAAGACCTCAGAGAGATCAGCCCGCAGATTAGCACAGTTTGCCCTAGGGGTAGGGGAACTAAACCCTAAAACCCCAAAGGGGAGACCGGCATGGGAAGAAAAGAAGGTAGGGGACGGACAGGTGGTCGTTGCCCCTGAGCGACCGATGCAACTGTTGCGCACACACCTGTGAAGAAAACGTCCAAAAGGTATTAAGGCTCGACCAACGGGAGCCCGGGAGCCACAAAATGACGCAGAAGAGGGCAGCAAGAAGGGCAACGATTTGCCGGCCCAGCTTGAAGAAAAACAGTGCCGATAGGAGGGCAAACGCGAAAGTGGCACGCGGTAGAGGAAGAGGTAAGCATTCGTGTCAAAGGTGGTCGTTGCCCCTGAGCGACCGATGCAACTGTTTCGCACACACCTGACACAGGAGCTAAGGAGGGGAGCCAAGAAAGTCGAGGCTCGACCCAACGAGGCGCAAGCAGCGCTGAACGGCGAAGGAGGTGGGGACAAGCCAAGAACCCAATGGCTGTCTCCCCCTCGCGAGGAAGAGCAACGCCAGACGCAGAACAGCTCCTGCAAAACAACAGAAGGAACTGCGCAGGCGAAGATGCAAATTTGACCGGCAGGGAAAGGACATCTCGGACAGCCAGGAGGCACAAAAATCCAGCGTCTGACCTGTACAGGCTCATGAAGACAGCAGAGAAACTGTACAAGAGCACTGCACTCATCGGGATGCTTCAACCCGGAATAACGAGAAACCCAATGCCCGCCATCAGGGGAGAGCCACCTGAAAAGACAGATAGCCTCACCGTCAAGGAGAGCACGGATCCTCGTCCTTCCGGGGGAAGCAACCGCTATCCGAGAGGAGCGTGTCCTTCTTGGTCGCCGGGCTCGTGGTCGTCGTCGACTAGACCAAAGGCTTTCTCCGGAGCTGCATGTGGAGTACCTGTGGGGAGCCCTGGAGACGCGGCCGAGGGCTTGGAGGTACCAAAGGGCTCCAGAGCCCGCCTTCGATGCAGCCGCTCTTGGAATGTGGGACTCTTGCCGTATCCTCCGGATAGGGCACCCTCTGGTGCCGGAGGAGGCTCTGTAGGTGGTGGCGTAGGGGCCGTAATAGCCGACTCCCCCATGCGCTGTCAGCAGGAAGCAGAGAGGGCGGAACTGCTTGGACCGGAGTCCCCACACCAGTTGCCGCTGCAAGAGGCGACAATCCATAAGAGTACGGATCGTACGTCACTGGGCCCATGTTCGCGTGGGGAAGCCCAGGAGGGACCGTAGACTGCATAGGTGGAGATCTGGGTGCCGTGGTAGTAGGCCGCGTAGGTGTCTGCAGGGGTGCGAGTGCACGTCGGACCATGGCATCGGTGGCCGAGTGGTCCTCCCTGGCCCAGTCGGCGAACATTGCGTCTACGTCTTGACCATCCTGCTTGGCAGTCATATCCACATCCTTTCTCCCATCCGAGTGGGGAAGATCTCCCACAAAGGCTATCCGAAGACCGTGTCGCGCGTCTTCTTGGGCGATCTCGGCATCGGCCAGCTCTCGCTCGAGGCGCTCCAGGTCGCGAGCGAAACGGGCTCTCTCCCTGCGAAAAGCATCCTTCATCTTGACCACAAATTCTCCCCATTTCACCTGCGCTTCCTGCTGCGCTTCTTGGAGGCGAACAACCTTCTGCTCTGCTTTCCGTGTGACATTGAGGGCGGCCTGTATGACTGGAGTGGTAGAGCTCCTCGATGCCACAATACCTTGTGCATCCTGATGAGGGCCCAGAGTCGATCTGTCCGCCGTCACGTTGACCGAAGCATACGTGGGAAAGACAGGACCAGCTTTCTGATCTCCATCCTTCCAGGGCCGTCGCCGCTCCCCACCCTGCGGCGAGAAGGCACCAGGCCAAACACGATAGTTGTTTGACCCCGCGTTCCATGGCTGACCAGTCTTTTGGCCGCGGCCCATGGATAAAAGAGCTCCGAGAAGAGCGCGTCTTGTATGTGGTGCCGTGGCGTGGTGGGTCAAGAGACACTCCACCTTTTGTCGGCCAGGGTGCACACCACGAACCAAAGAGCGCCTTGTGGCAGATCGTCGCTGCCGCCTGCGACGATGCCAGCTGGGCGATGCCGGAATGGCTCGCAAAAGGAGCTACTCGCACCGTTTGGTGCTGGGGCTTCAGCGATCGCCTCCTTTCGGCGTGTTCTGAGCCCTACAATAGGCCCCTTAATAATTAGAAGAAGGTTTTGGGGCGAATTGTCCTATAATTATAACAAGGAACCCCCAAAATATTCTTGGTAATTATTTAGGCCAAGACAGTATGCAACAATAATCCTGAACCACCGACGTTCAGGGCTCATTTTGGCTCCCACATAGCTTGGTTTAGGGTTCGAGGGTTTTGAGGTTTAGGGTACCAACGAATGTGGATGAAGTGGAACTGCATGAAAGAGTGCCAAATGCAAAGCCCCGCATCTTCGACGAGCTGCCAGAACCTACCTTTTTGTAGGCTCCTGTTTTAGATCCTGATACAGAATTTATAAGGGCCCTACAAAAAAGTAGGTTTCGGTAGGTTAAGGTCGAAGTAAACCACGCCAGCAAACCCTCAACACACAACCAGATGAATTCCCAAAGGCTAGTTGAGGCTACTTTCAGGATCGGGGCACTCATAACCCGACTTAACGTAGGGGCCTCAATAATTAGAATAGGGTTTTGGGACCCATGATACTGAAAGTATACTAAGGAAGCCCCAAAATAGTATAGGTACTTATTTAACCTCCTATATTACTGCCCCAAGCTAAACCCGGAACAGAGCACCCGACGGTGCAGGGCTTATGCGTGGTTGTCAAAAGACGGTGTTTGCTGGGTTCCTGCTAATAAGCGGGATTACATGTCGCATAACAAAGAAAGCATGTCTTTCCTAGACAAATTGCGGCGAAACCCTGAGATAGGGGCCTTAATAATTGCCTATACTATTTTGGGGGCTCCCGAATCTGATTTTGGTATAAAATACCCCAGAACCCTATTCTAATTATTAAGGCCCACTAAGGGGTTGGAAACTCCAAGTTCGAAGGTTTGTCAGGGATGATGGTTCATGGGTTTAGGGGTTTAGGGTTCTGGAGGCCTTAGAACATGCCTAAATCGTTAGCAGCCCTAAACCCTAAACCTTATATAAACCCTAAACCTTAAACCCTAAACCCTACACCTTAAACCCTAAACGCTAAACCTTACACCCCAAACCTTAAATCCTAAACCC